GCGGCAAGAGAAGCATGTTCCGCACGCGCGTGGATTGCGAGAGCATGACGCAAAGATGCAGCAGTCCTCCTCTTCTGAAGAGCCCGAAAGACCTCGTTCGGAGTCCTCTGCGCCCCAGTGGATCCGATGGCCCGCTCGGATTCCAGCGAGCCCATAGAGTTGGAGGGGGGAGGAGAGAGAGAGGGAGAGAGAGAGAGAGAGACAGAAAGAGAGAAAGAGAAAAAGAGAGAGAGAGAGAAAGAGAGAGAGAAAGAGAGAGCGAGATAAACAAAAAAACATAGACAGGGAGAGAGAGGGATATACATAACGACACAAAGACACAACAACGAAAAAGAGGGGGAATGATGACGAGGGGGAGGAGGAGGAGGAGGAAGAGGAGGAGGAGGAGGAGGAGGAGGAGGAGGAGGAGGAGGAGGGAGGAGGAGGAGGAGAACGGAGGAGGAGGAGGAGGAAGAAACGGAGGAGGAAGAGAGGAGGAGGAGAGGAGGAGGGCCGGAGGAGGAGGAGGAGGAGGAGGAGGCGGAGGGAGGAGGAGGAGGAGGAGGAGGAGGGGAGATGAAACGGATGATGAGGAGGAGGAGGAGGAGGAGGAGGAGGAGGAGGAGGAGAGGAGGAGGCGGAGGAGGGAGGAGGAGGAGGAGGAGGAGGCGTTGGAGGATCCACTTCGTCAAGTTCGGAGAGACCCAATGTATTTCGAGGGTTTTTTCCAGGGGCCTCCTATCATCTGGGGCCTTCCCTTCCTCTTTCCCTCTCTCCCTTTTTTTCCCCCTCCGCGACCCCGCCCTTCTGTATCCCCCCAGGGAGCCCCCCATGTCGAAAAGTATCTGACCTGACGTCCTCCATATTCATGACCGAAGAGCCAGGTCGGATGCCGGGTTGCAGGTTTGCTGGCGGCCCGCTCGGACGCCAACGGGGAGATGGGGCTCACATAGAGAGGAGGCTCCCGGTTGAGACTCCCCCTCGTGCCACTCACAGACGAGGCTCCCGCCTGAGTCTTCGTCAAGTTTCAGGCCTGAGGAGCCCAAAGGTAGCAGTTACACGTTCCCGATGACTTGCCCGGATTCGAACATGAGGCGCTGCCCAATTTTGACGACAGGTACAAGTTCCCGATGACCCGTTCGGATTACAAACATGAAGTGCGGGACCCATGGGCAGGGGGCTCCCGCCTGAGACGTCTTCGCCATTCACGCACAGACGATGCTCCCGCTTGATACTCCTTCAACATTCAAGCCGCAGGAGCCCAAAAGTGACGACAGTCACAAGTTCCTGATGACCCGCTGGGGCTAAATAAACATGAGGCACGGGACCCATAGGCAGGGGGCTCCCGCCTGAGACTTTCTTGCAATCCACTCACAAACGAGGCTCCGCCTGATATTGCCTCAAGATTCAGGCCTGATGAGCCCAAAAGAGACGACATTTACTGGTTCCCGATGGCCCGCTCGGATTAAAAACGTAAGGTCGGGCCCCATAGGGGGGTGGCTCCCGCCTGAGACGTCCCCGCAATTCACTCACAGACGAGGCTCCTGCCTGATACTTCCCACCAATCACTCACAGACGAGACTCGATACTTTCTCAAGTGTGGGTGTGAGTGAGTGAGTGAGTGAGTGAGTGGGTGGGTGGGTGGGTGGGTGGGTGAATGAGTAAGGAGTAAGTGAGTGAGTAAGTGTGTGAAGATGATGTTCATGCTGATGATGACGATGACGGCGACGATGATGATGATGATGGTGATAATGTTGTTGCTGCTGATGATGATGATTGTGGTGGTGATGCTGATGATGATGATGCTGCTGATGATGATGACGATGATGATGATGATGATGACGATGATGATGATGATGATGATGATGATGATGATGATGATGATGATGATGATGATGATGATGATGATGATGATGATGATGATGATGATGATGATGATGATGATGATGATGATGATGATGATGATGATGATGATGATGATGATGATGATGATGATGATGATGATGATGATGATGATGATGATGATGATGATGATGATGATGATGATGATGATGATGTGTGGGTGGGTGCGTGGGTAGGTGGGTGCGCGAGTGGGAAAGTGCGTGAGTGAGTGATGATGACAGCGAACACCAATCAAACAGGAGGCGGAAGAGAAAGAGGGGGATACTGCGGATATTGCGGATATGAATGACAACGAAAGTCAACTATGGAAGTGGCCAGAACGCCAATCGGCTATTGTGGCTATATCAGCTTCCCGCACGTGCTTGGCAAGGCCGCCAACATGTGGATACAGGCCTCTGGACATAAGGGCCAGGTTGTGGGCTCCTTTCGGGGAGGGCAGAAACCACCCGACGAGCCAACGAGGGTCCGAGGTGGCCTTTCTTCCACAGAACGTACAACAAGTCAATCCGTATCGGCCCAAACATTGTTGACGGTGAGAAGCTTTCAAGAGTTTGCCCGCGGCCACCTGCGGGCCGCGCAGGGGAACGATGCCGAAACCTTGCGGCGACGAGACACAACG